AAAAAAAGGGAATCTCAAAACACATTTTTGGTGTTTTGAGAAAAATGTTTAATTTTTGGATTTTGTAAAGGGTCAAGTTAAAAAAACGCCTCGGTTGCCAAACACGTTTCATTGTTTTTTTTGAAAAAAAAAAAGGGAATCTCAAAACACATTTTTGGTGTTTTGAGAAAAATGTTTAATTTTTGGATTTTGTAAAGGGTCAAGTTAAAAAAACGCCTCGGTTGCCAAACACGTTTCATTGTTTTTTTTGAAAAAAAAAAAACGGAAACGGCAAAAACGACATAGTATCCAAATTAAACGCTCCCTTAGAAAATGTACAGGGCAGTGGAGAATGGGCAAGGACCAATAATGGAGGGTATTTTGTCCATTATTTCTCAGCGTGAAGGATTGCCAGGTAATAGCAACAGAGTGTTGTCTCCACACTAAAAACAAGGGGGGATAATTTCAGCTCTTAATCGCTTGGGAGTTTCTGATGGTACGAATTCAAGAGAGGCAGCATGCATTAAGGAGTGTTAGGCTTCTCCTATGCATTAGAATTTGAATTTGTTACATGTCAAGGTACCAAATGTGATTGTAATTAAAGAATAACTTGGTCCTTAACAATTTCATATATAGATTGCAAAAGAAAAGGGCAATTATAAAAATAAAAAAAACTCCCTTCATGTAATACCCTATTTCTCAAGAAACTCTCTCATCCATGACAATTTATGAAACTGTTAAGTGTTAACTTATGATGCAGTTTATGCCTGAATAGATTTTTGCATTTGTATAGGTCCGTATCCCAGAATTTATACTTTTCCAGAGTCGAGAGATAAAGGTGGGGAGAAAAAAGAAAAAAAGTTCACTGTAACATAAAATTCTGAACATTTGTCTAGACGTATGAAGAACTTAATTTCATTTAATGATAGCAGACGAATAGTGTTTTGCTGAACTTTTTAGAAAAATGATTTCTTGAAAAACATGATATCGATGGACGGATTTTCATGTAACCAAAAAAATTAGAAAAGTTAAAATCAATTTTATTGGGTAAAGACAGAATAAACTTAAATTTTATCCACAATTTTCTATTAATTTCGTTTCAAGATCCGTGCTAGTGCGTGATCATGCATATCAACAAATGGACCTCAAACATAGCGAACGGATCTCAATTATATCATTTATGTGGATTACACCACCACCACGAATCCGGAAGCAAATCCAACGGGAAAAAAAAGGTTGATGGACAGAGCACTTGGTCTATTCAAACCTGCTCGATCTAGCTCTGCTCCAAATTTTTCAAAGTTTTGATGAAAAGTTATTTGCCGTATTTCTACAGTGAAGTGATTTTGCCTTTTCATCTTTTCAACTGCACTCTTTAAAGTCACCAGCACGCATGATTTGTATTGAGTAACAGTTACTTCAATTTGGGAATGCCCTCAGAATCTAATCCCATTAATTAATAACTCAAAAAAGGACGTGTCATTGGTTAGCGACAAAAACTATTCCAAAACTGACAACACATGCTCCAGAACGGCATGTATAAAATTTGCAACTAAAGAAAGTACTTAAAATTAACAAACGGGATGCTTAAACACGGTCAAGTAAACACACTTACAATTTATAAATCGAATCATCCGCTGCAACTTGCATAGGTTCTCGCAATGATTACTATAATATTCTAAGCAAATACAATAATCCAATAAACTACATCTAAAATGCCTCTTGTCGATGGTTGTTATGATTGCTAAGAGCAAAAGCCTTAAACTTCATAATAATTAACAGAGGTAAATATGATACACACATTAACCTAACATGGTGCTATTAATAATGCCGAGTTTATCAAATATAGTATTGGGAACAAAATGGTTTAGTAGACGCCACACTTTATAAAGTGTCTTTTTCAAGGCAAAACTGACCAAGTTATGAGATCTAAAGTAACATTAGAAAACTCTTAACTGGATAATTTTGACAAAGTCTAGACGCCTTATGAAGCTAAATTCTTACATTAGACTCCTTTTCATAACATGCCCATGTGCCCCCGGCGCCCACCATTTGAAACCAAAACCACGTTGGACCACAACCTCACGAAAAAAAGAGCAAATAAATCAAATGGCGGGCACTATATAGCTAATTCCGAAGGAGCGCTCAGGAGGCTGAACACGTTTCACTATCAATTTTTGAAATACATGCACAGAATTAAAATTGCAAAAAAGTGCAAATAGATCAGTGAATAGGTGCAAACGAACAGTATACAAATCAATACAACCATCAACTTTTAAATGAATAATATAGCACGTGTAAGCTATAGATGGGTAAATTTCACATAACCCCCTATATATCTCTGAGCCTATCTTGAACTAACCCTCTTTAATTTTTGTGTGTGTTACTGTTACATATCCCACTAACAAGGTATGCTGAGAAAGTTGGAAACGTTTGGGGAGTTTCGTGGCATGCCGGAAAGTTTAGAAACGAGGCAACATCTTCGAAGGTTAGCTAGGTTATCTCAATGGGCAAAAAGATGAGGGGTTATGTGAAATTAATCCCATTTTTTTTCTAGAAAAGCCCACGGGCTCGGTCCCGCGCACATGGGTCTGCTCCCTCTCCTGACCCAAACGAACCGGACCGGCACTCAAGGAATCTCTCCACTGCCAAACCCGGGCCGGGCGCCCGTTGTCGTCGGGCCCATGGACCCATTACGGACCGGCACATGTCTCATGGCTGCTCCCCACCAAAGAGACCAGCCTCGCTGTCCATTGCGCCCACCTAGAGAAAATAAGAGCGCAGAGCCCCTTACTTCCCTCCTATCCCTTGCTCTATAAAACACCCCTTACACCCTCTCATCTCATAAACAAACACTGTTCCAATACAAACTTCATCCTCAAAGAGAAGATAACAAAAAAATATATATATATAATGGAAGGAGCAAAGAACTACAATGGAGAGTTTGAGAACCTCAAGGCAACGGAGCTTAGGCTTGGCTTGCCCGGAGCTGACGATGAACCGAAGAAACCAGTTGTCGGTAACAAGAGGACGATTGAAGAGTCACCTGAGGCTAACTTTGCTCCAGTGGCCAAGTAAGTTGTATTAAAATGTTATTTTTTTTTAATATGAGCATATGGTGTTTGAAAATTTTGGACTATGGCTGATAAAATTTTTGTTGATTTCCGTAGAGCACAGATTGTAGGATGGCCGCCGGTTCGATCTTTTCGAAAGAACAATGTTCAGGCAAGGAAAGCTGAAGCTGAGGTTGGAGGGATGTTTGTGAAAGTTAGTATGGATGGAGCTCCATACTTGAGAAAAGTTGACCTCAAGATGTATAAAGGGTATAAAGAACTGAGGGAGGCCTTGGAGAACTTGTTCAAGGGGTTTTCGCTTGGCGAGATGGAAGGGTCCTCCGACTATGCAATCACATATGAAGATAAAGATGGGGATTGGATGTTGGTTGGAGATGTTCCATGGGGGTAAGTCAGTAAAAACTTCTGTTTGATGGTATCTTTTTGATGACGGGGGCACGGAAAGAAAATTTATCTAAACATGTTTTGTTTGGTTTTTACAGGATGTTCATTTCCTCCTGCAAGAGGCTGAGGGTAATGAGAGGAGCCGAGGCAAGAGGATTGGATTCAAATCCATGAACGTAGTCATCGCTAACTGAAGAGAGGTGAACAGGAATTGACTTGTCCTGCTTCGATTCTTCTCGGAGATAATTGTTGAAGAAAAGCTTGGAATCGGATCTGTCATGTTTATCATCTCACCATCAACCAACAAAAAGAAGCAAAAGGATGAAGGAGGAAGAGGGGGTGGAGTAAAGGACAGCTATGTATGAAGAAGTCTTCATCCGAAACAGAACGTGCATATAGAGAAAGGGATCTTTCTATCCCATGTAATTGTACAAAGAAATTGTCACATGTTTCTTGTAGCATGCAATATAGTTGTTTATTAATATTAGAATATGTATTTAGCATATATTTCTAATGAATATCTGAGATCAAAGACCTTTTTTTGGAACTCTGAATGTTATCATGGTACCACAATAAAAAGGGGGGGAAAAAGGTTATTAGCCTTCTAGACAGTCTTGTACTAGTTGAATTTCTGAATTTGTTGGATGATGCCTAAGTCATGAAACCACAAGAACATAAACCTAAACTTTGTTTGATGATGTTGTATTGGTTAAACCACAGTAACATAAGTCCAGGTTCAGCTTATTAGGATGTTTCCAGCCTATACAAATCACAACCAAGGCATAGCTTCCAATATTAAACTGTAGATTTTTTAAATTTAATTTTGCAGTGTAAACAGAGGATTTCAACATAATTGAAGGATGAAAAAGTTGCAGCAGTAAAGTTTAAGATCAACGAGATCCAGAATCTGTTCCGTACTCCATTAATTGAAGGAGACAAAGATGCATGTGGTGCACGTGAGGAAGAAGGGGTAGGAAGGGGGCATCCTCTGTGGATTATATCCTACCCTTTACTCTTGGTTGTCAGATCTACAAGTTTCATAGACTTG